TTAGGGTTTATTTACATATTTCATGAATTAATAGTTCATTCCTTCTTATTTCTGAGTAGTACAGTATTCCATTGTGTGGATATACCATAATTCCATAATTTATTCACTTATTGATGGTCATTTGGATTGTTTGTAGCATCTGGGGCTATTACAAATAAAGCTACTATAAATATTTATACTCAAGTCTTTGTGTGAACATATGGTTTCCTGTCTCTTGGGAGTGGAATGGCTGAACCATGTAACAGTGTATGTTTAACTACTAGACTGTTTTCCAAAGTGGTTGTACCATTTTATGTTCCTACTAGCAGCGTAAGAGTTCCACTTACTCCATGTTCTCTTCAACATTTGTTATGGTCAGTCTTTTTATTTTAATGATAGTGTTATCTCGTTGACTAATAATCTGAAGCATCTTTTTATGTGCTTATTTGCTGTTTCTTTGTCTTCTTTGGTGAAGTTCAAATCTATTGCCCGTTAAAAAAAATCTCCGATAGATGCCTTGGAAATATTTTCTCTCCATTTCTGGCTTGTCTTTTCATTCCCTTAATAGTGTCTTTGGAAAAGTTGAAGCTTTTAATTTTGAAGAAATCCAGTTAATCAATTATTTCTTTTATGGATTATGCTTTTGGTGTCATGTGTAACAAATGTTTGCCTAACTCAAAGTCAAAAAGATCTTCTGTGTTTTCATATAGCAGTTCTATAGTTTAGGTCTTTGATCCATTTTGAGCTAATTTATGTTAATTTCAAATGTTTAGTGGAATGCCGGTTCCTCATGCTTAGTGTGGATCTTGTAATGCCAAGAAGTTCTCTGTTCCTATTCCACTGGCCTCTTCTAGCAGGCTTGGCATACTAGCAACCAGAGGGAGTTTCTTTCTTTCTCGCTTCTTGTTTGATGCTGGTGGTGTATTGCATTGTGTGTAATTTGGTTTGAAGCGTGATATTGAGAAGGAGGTTTTAAAAAATTAAAACTACATAAGAAAAAAATTTATGATGTTAAAGTTTTAGGTTAGAAATATCTGTATGATCTCCTGGCCTTGAAAATATTATTAAAAGATTGTTAAAAGATTGTTACTTGGTCAAAGAGAAATTGTCAAATGTGACAATTCTTACCAATTTAAAGTGAGAAGCAAAGAAATAGATTTTGAAAATATCATTGATGAATTTGCTTTCTTCAGAGCCAGGAAAGTAATATAATACATTCTTTGTTATAAATAAAATATTTAAACTAATGCTATGAGTTTTAATACACCCAATTTTACATTTTTCAGCTACTTTAATGTTCTGTAAAAGAAAAAAAAATACATAGAAACATGCATACAGAAGTATGCCCTTTTTCTTTTCCCTCAGGTTCCCTAAAAATTTAATATTGTTCATTATGGATTCTTTTCATTTTTAAAATGCAATTTTTAAAAACCATTGCATGAAAGTACTTATCTTGATTAATGAGTTTTTTGGTATCCCTTAAATTTTGTTCAGGGTCTACACTCTTCTCTCACTAGTCCCAACCCTGACATTTTTACTGCCTCTTCAAAAGTAGTAAGACTTACATTTAAAGGATATTTATGGTTAAAATGTAGTAAAAGCCAATAGAAATTAGAAATTCATAGAATCAGCCCAAGTAATTAGATCTTATTTACTTATTTATTCTTTCAGTTATTCCCATGGTCAATAAAGTGGCAACCAGTAGGGTTGATGAGGCATAGAAGAGGTGGGGTGGGTATAATTATAGCTTGGGTAAGAAGTTTAAAAATCCACACAGGCGGCCGGGCGCGGTGGCTCAAGCCTGTATTCCCAGCACTTTGGGAGGCCGAGACGGGCGGATCACGAGGTCAGGAGATCGAGACCATCCTGACTAACACGGTGAAACCCCGTCTCTACTACAAAAATACAAAAAAACTAGCTGGGCGAGGTGGTGGGTGCCTGTAGTCCCAGCTACTCAGGAGGCTGAGGCAGGAGAATGGTGTAAACCTGGGAGGCGGAGCTTGCAGTGAGCTGAGATCCAGCCACTGTACTCCAGCCCGGGCGACAGAGCGAGACTCCATCTCCAAAAAAAAAAAAAAAAAAAAAAAAATCCACACAGGCATGACATATATAGAGGAACTTAAACATTAAAACAAAATGAGAAATGACTTGATAATGTTAAAGAAGAAGTATCTTTGTGAACTTAAGGCCTTAAAAAATACCTACAGAGGGCTGTGTGCAGTGGCTCACACCTGTAATCCCAGGACTTTTGGAGGCCGAGGTGGTCAGATCACCATATGGTGAAACCCTGTCTCTGCTAAAATGCAAAAAATTAGCCAGGCATGGTGGCGCATGCCTGTAGTCTCAGCTACTCAGGAGGCTGAGGAATGAGAATCACTTGAGCCCCAGAGGTGGAGGTTGCAGTGAGCTGAGATAGCACCACTGCACTCCAGCTTTGGCTACAGAGTGAGACTGCATCTCTAAACAAAACAAAACAAAACAAAAGAGAAAAACCCTACAGAGGCCAAGCAAGGTTCTCAGGTACTTATCACCAGTCCTCAAGTTCTGTGCCCCCACTGCACAAGTTTTTCTTGCTGATACATATATTTTTTTAATTAGAAAAGAGTTCCTTAGAGAATAGCTGATAGCCTGTCTGGCATGAAAAATGTACTTACCACATACCAGGCACTGTTCTGTGCATTCGTATATATTAATTCGTTTAAATCTCACTGTCAGTTGTCTGATAGATACTGTTGTCACCCCATTTTACAGATGAGAAAACTCAGGCATAGTGAGATGAAGTTACTAACTTAGGTTACACAGTTAATAAATGCAAAACTTACATTTGAACCCGAGCAGTCTAGCGTCTGAATCTGGCCTATAACTCCTAAGCTGTACTGCTTCACATGTACAAAAGAGTTTTTGAATACAACAGAATAGACTAGATCAAATATGTATGTATTAGTTTTCTGTTGCTGCTGTAACAAATTACCAGATTAATTTTAAAAAGTCTGGGACCATTGACCAATATGGGTCATATGTTCTAGGTGTCTGCATGTAATGTCCTTTCTATATGTATTTTTCTTCTCTTTGTGTAGGGAACAGTGATATAGGCATCTGTAGGTAGTCCAAATACTTAAAAAACACCAACAGCTGGGCGCGGAGGCTCACACCTTTAATCCCAGCACTTTGGGAGGCCAAGGCAGGTGGATTGCCTGAGCTCAGGAGTTGGAGACCAGCCTGGCTAACATGGTGAAACCCTGTCTCTACTAAAATACAAAAAATTAGCCAGGCGTGGTGGTATGCACCTGTAATCCCAGCTACTTGGGAGGCTGAGGCAGGAGAATTGCTAGAACCTGGGAGGTAGAGGTTGCAGTGAGCAGAGATCATGCCACTGCACTCCAGCCTGAGCGACAGAGTGAGACTCTGTCTCAAAAAAAAAGAAAGAAAAAAGAAAAAGCACCACTACCACCACTACCAAAAACAAGCTGGACCCATCGTAAGAAGGGGAAGGACTAACAAGCACCAATAGTCACACACAATGGCCAGGAGAAAGTATTTCCAAGAATATGTTGTAAGATGATGGATTAGCCAGATGGCTGGAAAGAGAACTGTCTTTGCAGACTTTATCATTAGATCTCCTGGGAGGTCTAGTATCTGTTGGCTCTGCCAGCCACCATGAGGTCCTCAAAAGCTGTAATGAAGCAGATGTTAAACTGAGGTAGAACAAACTGTCCAAGAAGGATGAACATGGGGATAAAGAACAAGGCCCAGGTTGAGGAAAGGTGTGGGCTAGATGGACACTTGAACCTTAGCTGTGACAGAAGGAGCCAGCCTAGTAAATGCTGGCTCTAGACCAAAAACTACTGGATACGGTTTGGTGAAGGGAGAAGTTGGGGAAGGGGAGACACTTTAGCTTCCTTCACTCATGCACAAACTATTAGTTATTTAAGTGCTAGAACCTAGTCTGAGTCATGATGATGAATTTCCTTTGAGCCCTAGTGTTAGGTGTTACGAACAGTGGAACTGTTGTAAAAGGTTCCTTCAGATTGTCAGTGATTTTGTTCTGCCTAATGCATTTCTACAGAGAGTATTCATTTAATTATTATATATGTATTTATCAATGTAGCTGTGGCTTGTATCAGTTGTCAAAACACTGGCTCCCTTGTTAGAGGAGCTCTTTGAAATTCATTGATGGACTAAATATGACTTGATATCTAATTTGTTAAAGAGCTATCACAAATTTTTCATCAGAGGATCTAAGTAATTTTTTTCTTAAAAGATCTGTAATTTGACTGAGAAGAAAGTTATCTTGCCTCAGATTTTCAGTATATTTCTATTTTAAAAGGTCATCTCCTTTTTTGAGATTAAGATCCCGTTTTAGAGGCTACATAAGATATTTAGATGGGGTTGTATTTCTCCATACTGAGGTCATGAATACACCTATAGAAGACTTAGTGATAGTGTTCCATCCTCCTAAGAGAAGCTTTTCTCATTCTAGTGGGCTGCAGCACCAAAGTTTTTGTAGTTGACTGGAGTTCCGAGTCACCCTTGATTCTGCCTCCTTGACAGTGACCAAAGTGCTCTGCTAGAGGATTTACTGATGGACCAAACCCCGTAAATGTGGTTGTCATTGCCAAGAGAGAAACATGCCATTCTGCGTATTTGTAAAATGTTCTTGTAAAACTGTTTTGTGAGCAGTCGTTTTACATTATTTTTACCTTTAGAGATTTAAAAAGAAAAAAAGCATCCATTTTATGCATGACAAGAGATATGTACATAATCCACTGTGGGCATTTGGCTTACCTTAATATCAATCATTTTGACTGTTTTAAAATAATTCTGAAGAGATACATACTTAAAGTACTTTTATCTTGAAAATGTCTTTCCCTCTGTGACATTGCTTTGCTTCTGAAGGTCAGCTTTCTTCCTTTTATTTTTAAAAATTATATTTTTGTCATAAGTACATATTTTCTTCTTAAAATAGATCTTTGATATGCATTTTTATACTCTGTTTATAATTCATTATTTTAAACTTTCAGGCTCAACTTTAAAGAAGCTTCTACACACTGGAAATTCTGCTAAGGTATTTATTTTATTGTGTAATGGCATTTTTTATTACTCTTAAATTTGTTAATGCCACAAAGTAACAATATTAGGCCGTTTTGGAATAAAGATCTTTAAAAACCACTTGATTTAGTTTTAATTTTTAATTGATAAATTATATTTTTAGGGTTTTGTTCTTACATCATACCTTATTGCGAGAGACATTTTAAATGGTATTAGAAGAAAATGGGTTGGGCTTCAGAGTTTAGAGTTCTGAGTTCTGATTCTGATTCTGCTGGGTATGGATAGGGACCATGGGCAAGGCACTGACTGCTTCAGTTTACCATCAGAAAAAGGAAGAGCAGTCCCCCTCTAAACTTCAGAGCTCACATGCTTGATTCTGTCCATCTTGGTAACCTGGTTGTTAAAATTATGGTTGTCTCTAATTAATTTTACTAATTTTGAGAGCCATTGTGGGAGAAAAGAACAACAGGGTCTCACTCTTGAGTATTTATCTGTGGCAGATTTATAGGTTAAAATTGGTTTATTTTGAAATGGATATGTCTTTTATTATAACATATACTTCTTGATGCTGAGATAAGATTTTGCTAAAACATAAGTGGCAGAAAAAATTTAGCCTGGGATGAATATTTTATGAAAGATAATTCACTTGGAGATAATTACGTTGTGTGAATGCTTTTAATAAGCTAATATATTGGTAGTTTTATACTGGCTTAAACAATCGCAGCCTCTTAAAACTTGATATGTTAACTGTTTCTCACATGTTGAAAAAAAAGGAGTTATTCCTAGCCTCACTGTAGATTCTATATTTTGTCCCTCTTATTTTAGAGAAATAGGGTTATGATTAAAACCTATCAGTTTGTTAATCTCGTGTTTATAATTACCCTTATTTATGTTTAGTTCTCTTAAATACAGTTAACATATAAAAATCAGAGACTTGTGGTAGAATTTCATAGAAACTTCCCTCTTGTTCAGTTAAATATAATTTAATTAGATACACATAGAGCTGGCTGGGCGCAGTGGCTCACACCTGAACCCCAGCACTTTGGGAGGCCAAGGCAGGCAGATTGCCTGAGGTCAGGAGTTTGAGACCAGCCTGGCCAACGTGGTGAAACCCTGTCTCTACTAAAAATACAAAAATTAGCCGGGCATGTTGGTGCATGCCTGTAGTCTCAGCTACTCAGGAGGCTGAGGCAGGAGAATTGCTTTCCCCCAGGAGGCGGAGGTTGCAGTGATCCGAGATCATGCCACTGCACTCCAGTTTGGGCAACAGAGTGAAACTCCATCCCCCGTCAAAAAAAAAAAAAAAAGATATACATAGAGCCTTCTCTCTTCTCTCCTCTCTCCTCTCTCCTCTCTTCTCAGTCTGATGACTGAATAGTAATGTTACCACTCATTTTACCTGCTTGGTGAGAGGAGGGCAGGTGTGAGCAGGCATGGAGGTTTGAGTGGAGCAGTGGTGGAGTCCAGGAGCATGTTTGGAAGTACGCTGTGAATTTACTCTGTTAATGGGGCAACACTGTCACCAGCTGGGGTGTCTGTCCTAGTGTATTTTGACTTCTATTGGGAGTCAGCAGAATATTTTTATTTATTTATTTTGGCTCTTCTCCACTTTTTGGTTTGGTTTTATGGCAAAGCCTTGTGTCTGACTTGCAATGTTCTTGCTCTGGCAGAGTCAGCACCACCTTGAATTAATGGAAAGGAGATGAGGCAGTCACCCCAGTTGCTGGCATTTGGAGCTCACTACATCTTTCAGCTGCATGTGACATTTTTTCAGTCTCTTTTGCTTATTTTTTTTTTTAATTGACATAATCTTTTCAGTCATTTAGGAATACAGAAATGGAGGGACATGTGCTTTTGAATTCTAGGAATGGAATAAATTTGGAAGTGTAAAGAAAGAAAAAGGACACATCTCCCTATGTTGATGTTTCCTACAGCATGATGCTGGCAATTCAGAGCACGGCAAAAGTGTTGGAGAAATAGAATAGGGACATAAGGTATGAGGAGAGCTGCTCTGTCTCATTAAGCCAGGCCTTCAAGGTCTTATTTAGCTCCTAGTCTTTTGATTCTCAAGAACATTATCAACATGTAATATTATAGTGATAGCACATATAAATTTGGAGGGAGATTATCTTTGTCATTGTTTTTATGGATAATTGAGGCCATGGGTACTGTTGCCTTACAGAATAAGATACTATTAACAGGAAGCACTTACATAGTGCTTACTGGGAGTCAGCCATTGTGTTATTCGGTTTACATATGTTAACTCAGTCTTTATCATAGTCTTTTGTGGTAAATGCTCTTATCCTTATTTCACAGATAGGGAGACTGAGGCATGGAGAAGTTAAGTGGTTCTCCGTGGGTCCCAGCTAGAAAGTGGCAGAGCTTGCATTTGAACCCAGGCACTTTGGCTCTAGAACCCTGGCTCTTAACTCGTGCTGTATTGCAGCGTCTTTGCTTATCTGTCACTAAGTAAAGAGTTTGGTGTACTACCTAACACACCTTTAACTTGTAGTTTTTCTTTCTCAGACTGATGCTCCATTGTAATGCATTTCTGTAAATACATGTAAGTGTTTCATTTTCATTGTTTTTAATTTTGTTTTTAGATAAGATGTGAAGGAATCAGGCTGTTTCTTCTGTGGCTTCAAGCACTTCAGACAAACTGTGCAGAAGAGCAGGTGCTGATTTTTGCTTGCCTGGTGCCTGGTTTCCCAGCAGTCATGTCATCCAGGGGCCCTTGCACACTGGAGACACTCATCAATCCCAGCCCTAGTGTAGCTGATGGTAAGTTATGTTAGCAGATCTCCCATGTTGAAATTATTCTTGAACTTAACATTGAGAAATTCTTTCTTTTTCATTTCCTTGAATAGAAATCCTGATGGAGTCTGAAGAGGAATTATTCCCCTTTCATATTCACTGTAGATTCTTACACACCTTAGAATCAAAAGACTTGGAGCTTATTTTATATGAAATGATGACAGGAGAAATTTACTGAAGTGATGGAAGCAGGAATAGGAGGGGACAGATGTTGGCAGTAGCAGGAAGTAAAAACACATGGGAAGTCTGGACTGGTTTTCTGGCTATTAATAAGATTAAACTCCACCATCCAAAGCTACTGTCTATTCTTATCACTGTTGTTCATAAGTGGACATTCATCTGCTCACCAGGATCTTATTTTGCCACTGTGTATTTTCCTGCAGCATCTATGGAAAGACAATAGTGGTCTCATGGGACTATTAACGGTGGCCATTTGTGTCCTGTGAGTTTTCAAGGAACTTGCCTGTTGGGACCATTGATTTATTACTGTATATTGCACTATTGCTCAATGACTGGCATTTGATCTTGGGCTGACCAAAGCAGAATTCGAAAGGGAAAGAATGGTGCAGCGGGAGAAGGTGCTTCGTGGGCATCTGGGCTGTGTTTCCAGGCCCTTTAGGCACACTGCCTTGGAGTGTGCTCCTCAGTGTGAGCAGTTTCAGTGGATGGAGAGATGTATTTTAATAGAGACCATTTTTAAAACCCTAAATTCTGTTTAAAATTTAACTTTGGTGAATGAGCTCTCATCATTTTCTGTCCTTTCAGTAAAGATATATCCAGAAGAAATCACTCCACTCCTGCCAGCCATATCGGGGGAGAAGATTGCTGAGGACCAAACCTGCTTTTTTCTTCAAATACTGTTGAAGTATATGGTTATTCAGGTCAGAGAAAAATTATGACTTTTTCAGTGTGGTGGGTTTATTCTCAGCAGGAAGAGGAAATATTGCCTCTTTTCTCTCTGCGTATCCGTATTTTTTCCCTTTTCTTTTTCTTTGAGTTGATTTTATGTGATATTTCAGCAAGTGCAGAGTATGCACCATTTTTTAGGTCACTGCAGCAAGACCAGCTGTATGTACTATTTTGTGAGTGTGTTTAAACCATTTTTCTCTCTTTACTCCTTTCCTACCCCTAATCTCTATGCTTGCAAGACAGGTTGAAGGAGGAGGCGGGCCCAGAGGCTGAACAGATGGACAGGAATAGGCAGAGAAGACCTGTTATCAGGGGATCTGAAGGAAAGCACATGGAGCAATCTCCTCATACCATTGGCACAGGCCTCCTTTATGTCATGTATTATTTTTCTCATATGCACCAATTGCATACATAACTGAAGTAACTGGTTTATGATTTTAATAGGAGATTTGTGACCCTGGTTTAGATTTCTGAATAATAGTTAGAATAAAATGTGCTGATTCTTTTTTCTCAGCAAATACTTCTGTTGTCCTTGAGTTCGTCCTGGGTATTGTCCAGTATCTGTCTTCCCCTTCACAGCCGAGTTGTTGAAGTAATAATCTCTACTGAGTTCACATCCTCACTTCATGTTCTTTTGACACCCACTGTTAGCTGCCTTCTGCCCTATCACTGCTAAAGTGGCAAACCCCAAACCATAAGGGTTCTAGGGTCAGCCCAGAAGGAGGGCACACTTCAGGTTTTGCTCTCCTTGTTCTTTGAGGGGATTTGACTACCCCTCCTTCGTGAGTTTCTCTCCTCCTCTGATATTTTCTCTGGCATTTCTCCCTTCCTTTCACTCCTTTCTAGTTTTCTTTAGGGAACTGTGCTTTTCTCTGCTATCTCTCAAGATTTAGTACTTGACTGCTTTTTCTGAATACTCAGCAATTTTGTCCCCTTTCCTTGCCCCTTTCCCTTTAGCCAGAAACAGAAACACAGGACTTCAAAATCCTGAAAACCTGACTGGGGCGTGCTTTCATATTCTGGAAACTCCACATTTGAACTCTAATGGCCCATTCTAGATGCATCTCAAATGCCAGCTGTTCAGAAATGTTTGGACATTCCATTTGTCCTGGAAAATCAACAGAGTATCCAGAACTTGTGTTGAGGGCCTTGGGTTCTCATTCTAGGTGTGTCACTAATGAGTTGTGTGACCTCAGATAAGGTGGATGGAACTGATATAGGATAGAGGTTTGCATGCAGACTGTGAACCCTCTAATTGTGTGCAAAGTTTTAGGTGCGTATCGGTGCCTCCCTTCTGCCTTCTCTTCTGTCGATTGAGATGAGTTCTCAGAGCACAGCTTTTGGCATATTATGGATGCTGAGCCCTGCTGCCCCTGGGGTAGCCAAAGCCTCTCATCCTTTTACCTCAGGTGCTGCACAAATTTCATTTTCTAAGTGGGCATGTCAGGAAGGAAGTTGGGAAGCCCTGCTCTAGAGTGCTCTGTGGTCTAACAAATGTTAAGAACCACTGACAGGTCTTCTCTAAGGGCCATGTTTCCCTGAATCATGTGGGGGTGACTGCACCTGTTTAACCAGGCTGTCCTCCTGGCTCCTGAGGGATGGTCCCAGATATTGAGCAGTTTTGGAGTGCTCCCACTATGCAGACACTGATGGGTTTTTGAGAGGGAGAATATTATCTCAACACTATGAAAGATTTAAACTTAATCCATAGTGGACTGGCATGCCTGGTTTATCTTAGCCTTTGAATTTTTTTAATACAGAGAATGCATTTTCCAGGATTCCATGGATTTTGCCTTTTGATATTGATTTTACATGTAGGTAACATTGGATGAAATTCTTGAGAAGGATTGTTTCTTTAATTTCTATTTATTATAAATGGCCTTTTTCTGAGTTTAGAAAAAAGCACCTGATTATTCGTGACTAAATGTTTTAAAGGCACAAGAAATGTTAGATAATTACAAAAAACAGAGAGAAAAAATATGGACATGATATATTATAGCACCTTGTAAAAGATACGATGTCATTGAGTTGTTTGGTTCTCAGTAAAAATGCTGTTTTTAACATAGTTACTGTTTTGTTTTGAAGTATTCATTCCTGCCATCTTTTGAGCTTTGTTATTATTTCATTACATGATTGTCAGTATATTTGTCATTTTTTACATTTAGGATAGGAATTTTAGTAACATAACACTTCAGTTTAGTATATGTTAATTTGAAATGTAAATATACATATGTTCTTTTCCACATATTATCCAAAGGCTGCAAGCTTGGAGTGGAAGAATAAGGAGAATCAAGATACTGGTTTTAAATTTCTTTTTACATTGTTTCGAAAGTATTATCTTCCTCATTTATTTCCATCATTTACTAAGTTAACAAACATCTACAAACCTGTACTTGGTAAGTACTGTTGGAGCCGTGTATAGAGGATATCCAAAGGAAAGCTATGCAGTCTCTTTCAAAGTGACCTTTGATTATTTTAAAGTAAAATAGTCATTTTATTTTTGTATTGAATGGTAACTTTATTATTAGATGTTTAAAGTTTCTTAATAAGTGATTTTAATTATTTGTACCTACTAAGATATACCTCAGCTCACAGCAGTAAAAGGGAACCGTGGCTCCTGTACTCAGAAATAATTTGAAATGTATTTATGATATTTTTGGTATAATTATATTGTCATCCTTTAATGGAAAAATCTCTGCATTTCCTAAAGTCTTTCCTTGTGGGTGGTGGCGTATGGTGACCTCAGGCTTTGTTCAGTGACTGGAGGCCAGCCCAGGGCAAATAGCTGCCATTGTATGCCTTTTCTTTCATGCTGGGTCCTACATCCAGCAGCTACTACTGACAGGTGCTTATGGAGAACCAAATTTTAGGTGATTGTACAAGCTATGGGCAGTAAGCCCCAGAGGACTAGGAAACAGAAAGGAATTTCTAATTTGGCACCTAATGTTTTTTTCTTCTGTAAGAAATGAGGACTCAGAGGACAGAAGCATCCCTTAGAGTGGTGAAGGTGGGCATCAAATCTTCCTCTCCCTATTATCTAAAACAGGTAGTTCAAATGAATAATTAAAAACAGTTTTGGAGGGGAAATGGTGACATGAGATGTTACTCTTTTGGGGAACATGGTCACCTGATTCAGTTGTCTGCACTGTGTGTGTTCTGTGTTTGCGTACACACACACACACGCATGGGAAGAGAAGCCAAAACTTGGTGCGTTTTGAAAGATGTAGAATTACTGACTTTTAGGGGCACTGGGAAATGTATTTCCTTAGCTATATATATGTGAATATTTTTTCAATATTTGTTTCTGATTTCATATGTACTCTAAATTCATTGTGAAAACATGGTATATTGTTAATATTGCTAGATTAAAAGTTATTTGTTGATAATTTTTCTGCCTTATACAGGTATTCCAGGTATACAAAAATTATTAAGATAGAAAGTTGAACTTATGGCAAGTAGTATCTCAAATCCAATACCATATAATTTTCATATTGATTATGGAATTTAAAGAATGAGAAATTGACTTCTTATTAAGTCTTTGGAAAAGGTAGCATTTGATTGCCTCAAAGATGAAATGTGACTTTCTGAATTCTTTTAAATATAAAGTAGATGATATTGATTCTGTTTCATTGGATTCATCTAAAGGTTTCGAAAAGGATATAAAACTCTAAAGTTCAGTGGATTTAATCGCTGCAATGTTAGATGTTAAAATACCTAAAATTATGTTTTAAAAGTTCATATATATGTTTACATTTGTTCCAGCTATAAAATTAAATTAGGTATAATGTATGTGAAAAGATTTTCACTATTATAGTCTCATGTAATTTATCAAAATTGTTAAAAATAGTTGTTAGCTTAGTTTTTCCATAGCTGTATATCATAGATACATAAATAATCACCATCACCACCCATTCATTCTCAGTCAGATCACAAGGTGGAATCAGAAAGGAGCCTACCAAAAATGCCATTTTTAATCATTGAAGTTGTTCATTCTTAATTGCTATTTAGAAAACCAAAAATTGGATTTAATTGGAAACCAAAACATTTGTAGGGGTTACATAATGTTATGATTTATTAGCCTAATCAATCATGTGTTCTTTTTTCTACCAGACATCCCCCATTTGAGACCAAAGCCAGTGTACATTACTACAACTCGAGACAATGAGAACATTTACAGTACAAAAATTCCATATATGGCAGCTCGTGTTGTTTTTATTAAGTGGATTGTAACCTTCTTTTTGGAAAAAAAGTATCTAACTGCAACACAGAACACTAAAAATGGAGTTGATGTATTGCCTAAAATCATCCAGGTATGCTGTTCATCATCTTTTTATCTGTTAATGCTTCTGTAATAAAACACACTGGAACATAGCCGGAGTTATTGATTATTACAGTTATTGGTTCTTCCAGGTTGTTGGTTATAGGTAAGTGATTTTATTGGCCTACCCTGTCTGTAATGCCGAGGTTTCAGAGGGAGTTGTGAGTTTGAATCGCTTGCTGTGCATTGTTGGGATTGCCATGATGATGCAATCTCGGGAGCCATTCTGAGAAGATGACTGTTGTGTTCACACTCCTGGTTCCTCCTCATTCTCCTCACTTGAGTACCAGTGGCCTCTGAGCGTGAGAACAGAGGCCTGTCTTGCCTTCACCAAGCCCCAATAGCTGGAAGGCTCTTAGGGAACTGTAAGTGGCCCATGGTGAGGACCTGTGAGGCTGCCAGGCGCCCTCCGGCATCTCAGGAGAGGGAAGTAGATCAGCAGCTCAGGATTTTGGGCTGGCTGTTGAGCAATGGTAGGGACCCTAGAAGAGGAGGCTACCTCTTCCCTGAGGCCTTCAGAAGAGACCTTTCCTTGTATGGGGCCTGCTGTGCTTTTTCTCTCTTGGCTTGGTCAGCCATACACAAATGGGGGCTTTCCCAACAGGCTGAGTTGCTTAGGGACTTGGTGGAGCACTACCATTTGTGGAGGTCACAGAGCAGCCACTTCACTAAGGGATCATGGTGTCGTGTGCTCTTTTGTTTATTGTCCCCAAGAACAGGGATAGGAAGTGTGGTCCACTGACTGCAGATTTGCCGATGCCCTGGAAGTCCCAGAAGTCCGACCTAGGCCTGAGCTGAAAGAATGCACAGACCTGAGGAGGCAGATAAGTGGCTCTTGTGCTGCAAGGTTATTAGGAACCTTGATGGAGAAACAACAAACAGTCTAGGGCATGTGGCTCCTCTGGGGAGAAGTCACTGAAGAGTGAGAGGAGAAACCTATTTTCAAAATCTGAGGGAGGTGCAATTGCAGTAAGAACAATGAAAGACTTGCTGAAAGAAAGTTTTAAGAAACCTTTGAATGTCTTAGTTAGAAAAATTAGTAAATAAAATGAAAATGGTAATGATTATTGCTGAGGAAGAAAATTAGTTTTCTGAAAAAAATCCCACCACAGTGACTAAAAATTTAGAGAGATAGAAATCAGAAATTGGTAGACAAGATCTAAGTACAGGTCCCTACCTTACAAATATTAGGTGGGTGGAAGAGAATGAGAATAATTGAACAAATAATAATTAAAGTTTGTCTGAACTGAACAAAAAAAAAAAAAAAAGTCATGCCTCAAACTTAAAGGGTCTTTGAGTCCCAGGAAAAATTATCAAGACACAAACCTAAACAGACATTTGATTTTCAGGAATTAAGAGACAGTGGTATAGGTTTCCAGACAGGTTACTTCAAAGGAATGAGACTGAGATTAGTGTTGAACATCTAATCAAATCTGCAATCCTGCAATCTCTTTCTCTCTCTCCTTCACACATACACACATTCCCCAACAGGATGTCAGTCAAGATTAAAAGAAAGAATCATACATTAATGGTGTTAGAATAATTGGCTAGTCTCTTACAACATACTGAAGCAAACGACAGATTGATTTAAGGTCTACAATAAAAACAAAATACTGAAGAAATGTAGGCTGGGTGCGGTGGGTCATGCCTGTAATCCCAGCACTTTGGGAAGCCGAGGCCGGCGGATCATGAGGTCAGGAGATTGAGACCATCCTGGCTAAGATGGTGAAACCCTATCTCTACTAAGACTACAAAAAATTAGCTGGGCGTAGTGGCGGGCGCCTGTAGTCCCAGCTACTCAGGAGGCTGAGGCAGGAGAATGACGTGAACCCAGGAGGTGGAGCTTACAGTGAGCTGAGACTGCGTCACTGCACTCCAGCCTGGGCAACAGAGCGAGACTCCATCTCAAAAAAAAAAAAAGAAAAAAGAAAAAAAGTGTAAGAGAAGGGAAAATCCAGGAGAGTGTCTAAATTTGGGAAGTGGTAGACTACCTTAGGTAGAAGTAAGACCCAGTAGGCTGGGCGCCTGTAATCCCAGCACTTTGGGAGGCCAAGGCAGGCAGATCACTTGAAGTCAGGAGTTCGAGACCAGCCTGGCCAACATGGTGAAATGCTGTCTCTACAAAAAATACAAAAATTAGCCAGGCATGGTGACAGGCACCTGTAATCCCAGCTACTTGGGAAGCTGAGGCAGGAGAATCGCTTGAACCTGGGAAGTGGAGGTTGCAGTGAGCAGAGATTGTGTTACTGCATTCCAGTCTGGACAACAGAGTGAGACTCCCATTTCAAAAAAGAGGAAAGAAAGAAAGAGAGAGAGAAAGAGAAGGAAGGAGGGAGGGAGGGAGGAAGCAAGGACAGAAGGAAAGAGAGAGAAAGAGGAAAGAAAGGAAGGAAACAAAAGGAAAGAAAGAAAAAGAAAGAGCGAGAAAGACCCAGTAGCCATGGAAGAAACGAGGTTTGACTTTATTTAAAAAAAAAATAGTGAAAGATTTTTGTGTCAAAAGACTACATAAGGCCAGATCCAATCAATAGACTATGAAGTAACATCGTGACTGTTAAAAGGGTTAAGATCTCTGCTATATAAAGAGTACCCACAAACTGGTAAGAAGACAACCCCACTGAAAAATGGACAAAGGAGATGAGGGCGGCTCATAGAAGGCAGACTACAGGGACCCCTGATTTTATCGGCAGTCAGAGAAATGCAGTTAGTTCTGAACCACGATGAGATACCTTTATTCACTTATCAGGTAGACAAAAATCTGTATGAAATTATGTCTAGGAAACGCAGTCATGCTCTTTGGTAAATTTACATCACATCTGAAGCGATTGTCACTCAATTCAAAAAAGTCTTAATTAAGGGGTGTAACCTTTCCTCTCTGGTTTAAAAAGATCAGAAAACCATCACCTGTATTTATTGAAAATAAGTAGCTCATTCTTGAAAAGTACATCTGGATGATGAGAAGTAGAAAGAACAAATTAACCACTGCTTTCAGGTTCTGATTTTTTCTTTTAGTTGACTCTTCACAGTTGTGAGTCGTCTACTTTTACTGTCTAGCTTTTTTAACGTCTTAAAGGTTGGAACTTCGGAATCAGTTAGGATGGTTCCATCATCCGCATGGAAAAAGGATCACAGCTCAAACTGTCTTAAACATAAAATAAATACTGTAATCTTACTAAAAAGAAGCACATGGTGAGGCTGGCTGAGAATACGGTTCACTCAGGCATTCTCCCTGGTTCTCTGTGGTCTTCTTCTCACTGTTCTGCCCTTTCCCTCTGAGAGCTTTGTCTACAGCAGCTTCCCTCTTGATTGTAAGATGGCTACTAACAGCTGGGGCACTGCTTTTCTTGTTCACATTTAGAGGCAATCCAGAAATATAAAGCCCTTTCCTTTTGTCTGAGTGGAACAACTTACGTTACCTGCCTCCCCCTGGAACAGTAACAAGAAACTGATTCGCTTAAAGCTGGGTGTGTGAGTGGGCCAGGAGATGTCATGATTGGCCTCCACAAAACAGATTGGTCCCTTAGTACTGTGGATGGGGTCAGCTTCCTGCGAGTCAGTTGAGGTGCATAGGAGGAGGCACACAGAGGACTGTGGTTCTGTTAGGGAGGGAGAAAGAGTGCTGGGCTGACAGCCATTTGTACCCTCTGTGCCATCACACCCTGCAGATGACTGTCCCTAGAAATGGCCACTACCATTCTAGAGACTGCCACTATACCTCACAGTAAGTTGTTATATTAGTTTCTTACTGCCACTGTTGCAGATTCTCACAAACTTAATGTCTTGAAACAGTACAAATTTGTTATCTTACGGTTCTGAAAGTCAGAAATCCAAAATCAAGTTATTGGCAGATATGTGTTCCTTCTCGAGGTTCTAGGGGAGAATCCTGTGTTCTTGCCATGTCCAACTTGTAGAATCCTGTGTTCTTGCCATGTACAGCTTCTGTATTTCTTGGCTGTGGCCCTGCATCACACCACCTTTTCTCCCAGTTTCCATCATCACTTAGCCTTCTTTGTCTGTTATCCTCCTGCCACCCTCTTATAAGGACCCTTGGATTATATTGGGACCATTTGGATAATCCAAAATAATTTTTCTATCCCAATAGCCTTAACTTAATCACATCTGCTGTGTCTCTTTTGCCATGGAAGGTAACACATTCACAGGTTCTGGGGATTAGGACATCCTTGGGGAAGTCATTATTCAGCCCACCAGCGGTGGTTGGTCTGCAAGGTCCAAGATTATTTCATTCACGTGCCTGCTACTTGATGGGGGCAGTTGGAAAGGAAAGCTGGGTTCCTCTGGGACTTCTTGTTCTGTTTTCTGGTTAGCAAGGTAGTTGGACTTCTTATATGCCTGCACAGGGCTCCAACAGTGAAATGTTTCAAGAGATGGGAATTGTTAACCAACAGCCTCTTGGGCCTGAGTCTGATACTGGTATAGGTCTCTTCCATTCTAGTCTACTGGCTAAAGCAGTCATACAGTCCATGTAGATGAAAGGGAGGGGACATGGGCCTCATGTCTCTGTGGAAGGAGTGTTAAAGAATTTGTGGTCATCTTTAATTTGCTATATATGTGCATATTTTTTTTTTTCTTTTTTAGTTTGTGGGGAAAATGGGAGTTATAGGTCAAAAAGTCACAGGTTATTGAGCCATAAGAGACTTTAGACCTAATCTAGCCTCTGTGTCCTACAAATTAACATATATGTGTGTGTATATGTGAAATCCAAGTGAGTTGCGTGACTCGTGTTACAGTTAGGAATGTGGAGAAGCAAGTCTTTTGATTCTTAGTTTGGGCCTCTTCTTTCTGTGCTATACTCATCCTTGGGCCATTCCTACTGAAACTTCAGATAAAAAAAGAATAAAATGAATAAAGTGTTATTTTCGTGTGGAAGATAGTAGATCCGTCAAAAAGATAAAATAATTTCCATAGGTGAGCACATCTCACAGTGTGATAGTGCCTTTGATAAGCCACACAGGCTTAGTAACTAAGGCATGAAGAGAAAAATTATTACAAGTATAATATTCCTTTAATTTTCTCTAGAGATTACTATTGGATATCTGTTTTGTTTTCAAACTGTCCTTGGTAGTTACTGAAATTAGTTTTGCACTATTCATATCTTATCTCTTCTTGTAAAAAATATTCACAGTAGGTAAATTTTAGTTGTATTTGGGCTATGTATTTTTGACACTTAAAAGTAATAATGGAGTTTGCAAAGATGAAGCAAAATTATACGTATATTTTGTTTGGAGGAAACCTTTAATTCTATGTGGATATGAGAGCAGAAATCAGTGTTAAGCTTTGTGAGTGATTGCATGAATTACTTCATTTCTTTGCATGCCTGAAGTCTTTTAAATGTTTAAAATTTTGTAAATATTTCTTTACGTTAGACCTAAGATTCTGAGGATAAAGCTCAGATCAGCATTCTTCTGATAAAATACCCTTTGAAGATCTTCACACTCCACTGTCAAGCTGCCACTTAGTCACATAAATCAAATGATGCATCCTATCATTGTTGTACAAGAAGTCCCCTGAATTTTCCTATCTCTGTGACCATAGGAGCAAATGCTAAGGTGTAGAGACCTGATGTGATGATAATACAAATGTGTTTACACATTAATTTATTCTGTGGTTTTACAATGCAAATTAAACCTTTTAGATTGGGAAAATTTCCCAGCCCTCCTTTCTGAAATAGCTTAGTAGTTTTCCTTTTAAAATAGCTGAGTTGGGAGGGATTTGTTGGTTAGTTAGAAAATTGGTAAGTACAGGCTCTGGAGCCTGTCGTGCTTCAAGCAGTTGCTGGTTTTGGTTTGCTGTACCCTGTGCACGTTGATGGTAACTAGAGTTACTTAAAACAAGGCAAGACTGAAGTTTGGCCAGGTGTTCTTGAGTTGGGGTGAGCATCATTGAAAAGTGTGCTGACTTTCTTCCAGACTGTTGGTGGTGGTGCTGTGCAGGAGAGAGCGCCTGAGCTGGATGGTGGTGGGCCCATGGAGCCAGACAAAAGCCATTCTAACAGCAGCACCCTGTCGGACCGAAGACTCAGTAACTCCAGCCTCTGTAGCATTGAAGAAGAGCACCGAATGGTGTATGAAATGGTACAGCGGATTCTCTTGTCAACACGAGGTTATGTCAACTTCGTGAATGAAGTATTTCACCAGGTTAGTGTGTGTGTGTGTGTGTGTGTGTGTTACAAGTTCTTGAAACGGAAACGATTTTGTTTCATGTTCTTTTACTTGTAACACTCCAACAAATAGAGTTGATGAGTTGGGTTACGTTACAGAACTGAATAATAACGAATGATCCCTCTAATCTTTTAATTTGTGTGGATTGCTGTGATTTTTAAATTTTGTTGTTGAAAAACATTTACACAAGGAGGAAAAATTCTGTATTTGAGCAAAATCGTGAGACAGATATTTTCATGTTTTTGTGACAAAGTAAACTCAGAATTAGGTGGGAAGAAAGCCATTCCTGAATACCCAGCAACAAATGAACACAGCAAAGAAGAGTCCAGTCTTATTCCCAGAGCCTTAAGGAGCTCTCTGAGGAGCTGGAGGTTTCTGCAAAAACCTTGCAGAGGCGTGTGGCACTCACAATATGATAGAATTATTTATGGCACAAGAGAAGAAGGTAGGTGGCAAGGGGAATAAAAGGAAAGAAAGGAGCAGAGGCCAAGACGAGAAAAGAGGTGTGAGCAAAGGAAGGAGACAGAAGAGGTCAGAAGCCCAGGCTACAGTTAGTGGCCATGAGTGACATCAGAGGTTTGCAACTGGGGTTGACGCTACTCCCTAGGGGACATTGGCAATGTCTGGAAACAGTTTTGGTCATCACACCTGGGGTGCTACTGGCGTCTTAGCGGTCACAGCCAGGGATGTTGTTAAATATCTTGCAATGCCCAGAATGGCCCCCACCCCAACCATGACAAAGAACTATCTGGCTCAATGTGTCAGTAGTTCTACTGTGGAGAGACAAGAGACTCAGCACTAGCCTTCAACACAGCAAGCAGAGCTCCCACACAGCAAGCAGAGCTCCCACATATCTGGAGTGTGACATGTGGCCAGTGCCACTTGACTCTAGGTACTGGTGCTCTTGAACACAGGAATGTGGCCTATTTGTGGGTATGTGTATATGAGGTGGAATAGTTGTTTTATCCATAGACCTGAAAAGTAGGTTAAGCCCTTGAATGGCAGAGTGCAGTTGTAGGTGAGGAGGAGAGGAAGAGTCTTGTACATATGAATGACGGGAATGCACCACAGAGAACTTCTTTTGGCGAGGCAAGTTTTTGAGATAGTGAATGATTGACCCTATCACTTCTGGGGCTTTAATTACAAAAAATCAACCAAAAATGAAAGTCCCAACCTAATCCATAGCAGTGTAGAGATTTTACCATATTTTCATTTTAATGAAGAACAAATTTTACTTAAGAAAATGTTTGTTTAGTCTGCAATTAACATTCCGCTTATAAATTTTTTTTTTCTGGTTCTGTGGCCCAGCACTGCCTTGATTCTTCTCACTCTCCATGTCTTCTCTGTTTCATGTCTTGGCCACTCTTCTTGTTTTATCCCAAATTACAGGTGTTAATCAAGATTCAGGGCTCAAGTCTTTGCTGTAATTCTACACTTGGCCTCCTTGAGGCCTTTACTGCTGGTCCAGTGCCAGCAACCACTGTGGTATTTGTCTCCCAGTCAAGCCTTTTGTCTGAACCTCACTTGTAAATAAAAATATTAATTTCATTAAACAGATTTTTTATACTCATGAAAGATTTGTTACTGGCAGAGGATATACCACATCAGGAGCCGGAAAGCGTAACGCAATGCTGCAGAGACCAGGTACACCTGAGCACAGCTTCAAGGGCCCTCGCTCTGCTGCACAGAAAATGTGCCCTCTCGGGATCATGATTCACCATCATGAGAGTGAGTTATCTGTCTCAGGGAAGACAGGGCGCAAGTTTACTGAGAGGTCCTTCAGACCTAACTAATCACACGGCTAAAATCAGGCAGAATGACTGAGTAAGCCAGCTGTAGACTCTCAGTGTCTGCATTGTCACTGAACAATGTAGACAAGGTGGCCCTGGGTGCCTCCTACACTTGCCTTTTAAAATGGCCATGTGCCATTGCATCTGATGTTCCTGTAGTATCTTAATGATAACAAGACCAAAGCCTGGCTCATTTTTTCCCCCTAATATCAGCTTATCCTCTTGACTTGACTGCTTCTTCAAAGGGACCCGTATTCATGTTTGCATCTTAATTTTAATGCTCCTAGGTTCCCCATCTCCCTCTCCTCCTATGACAGTCACTGGATAAGTCACACAGGAGTTCTGCTTGCTCCTTTGCTCTCCATTTTCTTTGACTGTGGTTAGCAGCCCTCTCCTTGGAACTCCCCTCTTTCTGTGTCATCCCTTTCTAGGTAGTACTGCACACATCATACTGCCAAAACAGTTTTTTTTTAATAATAGTCCATGATTTGAAAACCTAGCCCATTCCCTACATTAATGTTGTCATATTCATGCTGCTGTTGTACATGTGAAAGGTCCATGGCAACTATTTGAGTTGAAATAGTCAGAGTCCTGGAGTGTATGATCTATAGCAGGGGTCAGCACACTTTTTAAAGCAAAAGGCCAAATAGTAAGTATTTTAGGCCTCATGGATTATCCTGAATGCACCTCAGAGAGACAGAGAGGTGAGAGCTGTGAGAGATTGAGACCTGGAGGATCTGGTGAGAAGGTCCAATAGGTGTTCACGTCTCCTCTGGCTGCATTATTATTTGCTTACTGTTCTGCCACTTTTGGAAGAGTATCCTACTCTAATTGTGGATTTTTTTTTTAAAGCCTATCAGTTTTTGATATATTTTTGGCAAAATTATTAGTTGCAATACAAATTTAGAATTAGTTTATATTCCTTTGAATTGAATGTTGTCATTAAGAAGTTTCTGTCTTCATCTCTAGTAATGGTTTTCTGGAGGAGGGGCACAAAGTCTTATCTTGTCTATTTTTAATACAGCTCTACCAGTTTTCTTTTGGCTAGTGTTTGTGTGGTATATCTTTTGCTAACTCTTTACTCTCAGCCTCCCCTGTTCATAAGTTTTGGATGTCTTCTTATAAATTACAGCTAAGTCTTTTAAATAGATTTTTAAATTATATCTTACAATCTTTGTCTTTTGATTGGATCATTATTCATTACATTTAACATAGCAACTGCTATTAGGTTTTAGTTGGCTGTCTTCTTACTTTCTAGTTGTATTGGACCTTCCAGCTCATTGTTTTTAATATCCTATTTTTCTTCTCAAATTAAATGAGTTTTACAGTCATTTGTACTTACTTTAATAGTTAACACATGCATTCCTAACATGAATGCTAGCATTAATTCCAACTTTTACCCTCAGTACACGTTAGCTCTATTTACTCCTCAGTTTATATGCCATTGTTATTATTATAAGTATATAATATGTAGATGTTATCCCTTTCAGAACCACTGTAAAGTTTGTTTCATCCAGTTTTATTCTTTTTATTCATATATATTTTCATAAATATGTTTTATTCATTTAGATTTATCCACATTCTCTTTTTATTGCATTTTATTGCTTCCCAAATCTCTGACCAGGGAAAATTTCCCTTCTATCTAAAGAATAAGTTTTAATATTTCTCTTAGCTCAGGTCTCCTGGTAACAAATTTTCTCATCTGAAGATGTCTGTATTTTGCTTTCGTTTTAGAAGTATTTTATTTCTGGGTGTCAAATTCTACACTGGCAGCCCTCTGCACATGAATCTTTTGTTCCATTGTTTCTTGGCTTCCATTATTTCTTTGAGAAGTCATAGAAAGTCATGTGGCTGCTCCTTTGGAGGAAATATGTCTTTTTTCTTCTGGCTGCTTTTAAGATTTTTCTGATTATCTTTGGTTTTCAGCAGTTTTACCTGTAATATACTTCATATTTATCCTTGTTTTTCTTTGTGCTTCTTAAATCTAGGGATTGATATATTTAACCCATTTTGGCTAAATTCTCAGCCACTCTTTCCTCAAATACTGTTTCTTCCTCCCATCTTTTTTTTTCCTCTTTTTTTTCCTGCATCTCCAGTCATTCATTGGATAACCTATTCATTGTATTTTCTCTTTCTTATCTGTCTTCTGATTTATCCATTCTTTTATGTCTTCATAGTTTGTTCTAGATATTTTCTTCTGATTTTTCTTCCAGTTTTCTCTTTAGCTGTGTCCATTCTGTCCAACCCATATACTCTGAGTTTTTAATTTGAGTTATTTTATTTTTAAATCCCATTACTTTGGCTTTTGATACCATGATTATCTCGATATTGATATATTACATGAACCTTTGTTAAAGTGAGTTCTGCCTGTAACTGGATCCTGTGGCTTGAACCTTAAGGGCAGTATTAAAACAATCCCAGCAACTTGAGACCAAGACCTGGATTTGTGGCTAACTTTGTAACCCTGGAAGAATATCTCTGGTGCTGTAAGCCTCAGTATCCTCATCTGTGACATGAAAGCATCTGAGTATGGGGTACCTCTCCCTCTTGTTCCCCTCAAATATGGAAAGAGTTCTTAAAACTGATAAGCAAAAAGCAAATGCATTTCTCCTTTAAATTCTTTAACATTATTGGAATCTTCTCACATTAAATCAAAATTGCTGTATGGAGATGTGTAAGGCAATTTCTTAATGTTAAAAAGTTCTTATAAATATTCACAATGCTACAACTTTGTCGTAGGCTCTTGTTAACATTGATAGCTGAACTCATTAGTAACCTGATAAATGTGAAACAATTGTTTCTCAAAAAAATAATAATAACAAAAAAGGAAGGAAGGAAGGGAAAGGAAGAAGGACAAAAGCAAAGAAAAGGAGAAAAAAAAAAAGAAACAGAAGTCCTGATTTGTAACAGATGCTGACTTCTGTGGTAGAACCACTCCCACCGTGGCTGATTCATGCCAACACCATGACATCAGTGAACATGGAGATGAGAAGAGGTGGGCACAACTGGTTGCCACTGGCTGTACTAGTATGTCCCTTTTAACCTATTTCTGATTTGTTGGGAAAAGGTCCAGGTTGTGCATTATAATTATGTTTTGTAGCCAATTGAAAGATTTCTGTAGGTATGATTTGGTGATTTGGTTATTTTTGTAGACAAATTATTCAGAATATAAAAGTTATTTTTTTCTTTTTTCTTTTCTTTTCTTTTCTTTCTTTTTTTTTTTTTTATTGAGACTGAGTCTCACTCTGTTGCCCACGCTGGAGTGCAGTGGTACAACCTCGACTCACTGCAACCTCCACCTCCTGGTTTCAAGTGATTCTCTTGCCTCAGCCTCCTGAGTAGCTGGGATTACAGGTGCATGCCACCACGCCCAGCTACTCTTTGTATTTTTAGTAGAGATGGGGTTTCGCCATGTTGGCCAGGTTGGTCTCGAACTCCTGACCTCATGATCCACCTGCCTTGGCCTCCCAAAGTGTTAGGATTACAGGTGTGAGCTACCACGCCCAGCCTATAAAAGTTATTTTTAACTGCCACTTTTTAGGGCTCTCTTACAAGAATGTCTTTGTTTCTGCTGGTAAGTTTGGTGTGCACAAAGATTTGTGGCCCTTTGTAGTATATTTATAAGCTATGTGTTCCAAAGGAAAGTGAAATAAGTGATGGTCATTGGAAATGTCCGTGATGCTGCCCTATACTGATCTGAGTTTGTTTGTAGTTAAAGGGAGTTTTCTCTTTTCCTTTCAGGCATTTTTGTTGCCTTCCTGTGAGATAGCTGTAACAAGAAAAGTAGTTCAAGTGTACAGAAAGTGGATTCTCCAGGACAAACCTGTGTTCATGGAGGAGCCAGATAGAAAAGATGTTGCCCAAGAAGATGCTGAAAAATTAGGATTTTCTGAGACTGATAGCAAGGAGGTAATTTTTTTCACTTGTCTTTTGAGTTGAGGGTAAATATATTTCAGTAAAGTATACTTGCTCAGTCAAGAGTCTTGTCAGTGGGACAAAGGCTTCCTTTTATCCCATCTGATACTTCTGAGTTGCCAGGTTCTGTGAGGGTCTGCCTTAGAGAGTAGCTTCTGTACTCCCATTCTAGATTGGCAGTCATCTCCTACAACTCTAGCCAGGGCCATCTGCGTGTTGCATCTTTGTTAGTCTCTATCGCAGGAGAGTTGTTTAATAAACCATCATATTTTACATGTCTCTTTGTGAGACTAAAAAAATCACTGTCTTCTCCTTGACTTGTTTAAATAAATATCATTTGGAGAAACTAAATTGAGAATGTTTGGGCAGACTTTTCTTGTGCAGTGGCCTGTACCAGGAGCAGCTGGGTGTTACCCCTGTGAAAGGAGTAACCAAACAGCAGCATCCCTCTGCTTTAAGCCTCGCTGAGTGCTGGCCTCCTAGAGGGACGGCTGCCCATGTTAGATAAAGCTATAGGTTGGATAAATCCAAAATGACAGAGTGGAATATCTTCCTGAAACGAAAGAAACTTAAGTGATATTTGTATTTCTGGCATACTATTATGAAATTAATTTAAAATGTTTAAAGTTTCTCACTAGAGGCATATCACTTTAAAATATCTGTGTTAATTCCATAATTTTAATTTTTCAATATTGGTGAAATCATTTTAATAACTACCATGAGATCTAAATGAATATGCTACATATCATTTATCACTTATTTTAAAGCAAATTATCACTCATTTTAAAGGTCTATATTCCATGCTCACTCAGTCATTGGACAAACAGAACTCATTCTTTCAGCACATACTAAGTGCTGAGCACTATTTTAGGTGTTGACCATTGAGTGGGGAGCACTCTACCTCCTAGAACCTATTTTCATGTGAATCCTGGTGAGTTTAAGGAATTAATTATGCCAACTAAATATAACTTAGTTTATATAATATAATTATATTTATAGTTAAATGTAAGTTAAACATGTGCATCATCTACTCTGTCAATGGATCATTATCTTCTGAAGGCCTCGTCTGAAAGTTCTGGTCATAAACGATCTTCCAGTTGGGGACGCACGTACTCCTTCACAAGTGCAATGAGCAGAGGGTGTGTGACAGAGGAGGAAAATACAAATGTGAAAGCTGGCGTCCAGGCTTTGTTGCAGGTATGTGGCTGGCCAGAACATGAAGACCCTTCCACCGCCTACAGCTGGAGCCATTTTGTCTTTTTATTTATTGGGGATAATGTCATATAAATATGGTGGTATTTGTAGCCATCTGTTAGTAAACAATAAACAGCAGTTTAATTAGTTATTAAATTCTTATTCTGAGTTCTCTTTCTAATTCCTACCCACAATTTACAAAAATTTTTTTCTAGTCAAAGAAGACATAAGAACTGATTGCAGTCTTTTTGAGATTATTATATAGTGAATGTGAAATGACTGAGATTTAAATCTTTAAATTATCTTCCAAACACACATGAATAGTTATCTGGGCTCTTAATTTGCAAGACAAGCTTGGTGATTATAAAATCTTATAAGTAATATTCCTCTTAAAATTGGCTGTGTTTACAAAGAAAAATGACTGATGTAGTTTTTAGATTTTTTTTTTTATTATACTTTATGTTCTAGGGTACATGTGCACAACTTGCAAGTTTGTTACATATGTATACATGTGCCATGTTGGTGTGCTGCACCCATTAACTCGTCATTTACATTAGGTGTATCTCCTAATGCTATCCCTCCCCTCTCTTCCCACCCCACAACAGGCCCCAGTGTGTGATGTTCCCCTTCCTGTGTCCAAGTGTTCTCACTGTTCAGTTCCCACCTATGAGTGAGAACATGCAGTGTTTGGTTTTCTGTTCTTGCGGTAGTTTGCTGAGAATGATGGTTTCCAGCTGCATCCATGTGCCTACAAAGGACATGAACTCATCCTTTTTTATGGCTGCATAGTATTCCATGGTGTATATGTGTCACATTTTCTTAATCCAGTCTATCATTGATGGACATTTGGGTTGGTTCCAAGTCTTTGCTGTTGTGAATAGTGCCGCAATAAACATACGTGTGCATGTGTCTTTAAGGCAGCATGATTTATAATCCTTTGGGTATATACTGAGTAATGGGATGGCTAGGTCAAATGGTATTTCTAGTTCTAGATCCTTGAGGAATTGCCACACTGTTTTGAATGAATATATGAAGTAGAACTGACACCATTTGAGAACATTTGAAAGAGCAACTTTGGATCATTACTTAACCTCCCTAGAGCTCAGGATTTTACCTCAAAAATGGGAATTGGGAGATTTCCTCTTAGGTCTCATGTAGCTTGAAGAGTAAGTGAAAATACAGGGTGCCTCTCATTCCCCGCTCACTGCGCCCTCACCCACCACCCTTCACTTCATCCACGTTTGGAGATGTATCACTTAGGCCTCCCATGTAGAGGCCAGGTGTGGAGTCTGGGGAAAATCTGGGAATGACATGCATGTTTCTAGTTTTCTGTCATCTGTTTCTTGATAGGATTTGTTTTCGTGGTATCCTTTTTGTTTTCAAGTGAATTAGCAGTTTAATGTACCATACTGATGAATTTTCTCACTTTTCATTGAAAACCCACACATAATTTTGAAGTTAACTTAAGAAAGTTGAGATAATTTCACTTGTGCATCTTTTGGTGTAGCTCATAAATATGACCTGCATCCCCATCAGAGAAACACTTGCAGGAGTCCTTGCCCTTTGTCCCTCAGTAGCTCCATCTTTTAGCTAAGGGAATCTCCAGCAACAGTCTGTGGTGGTTGCAGGTGCCAGTGATCTCCTGGGTTCAAAAGAGTACTTTTTACTTTCTGAAAGGATGAGTTACATCTACAGTAAGTCCTCACTAATGTCATCAATGGTTTCTCGGAAATGGCGACTTTAAACGAAGTGAGTACAGCAGGTCTTTGAGTAACATGGTTTGATTCAACATCATTTCATCATAATGCATCATTTCATCATAATGTTCGTGAGAAAATAATTTTCTTTTATATTTTGCTTAAAGTCATCATTTCCAACAACCTATCAATGACGTTAAATGAGGACTTACTGTCCTTGCTTGAACTGAGAAAAAACAATTTCTATTTTATTATATAAAGTGCTACAGTTAAAAAAAGTATTTACTTTGGATTTAAATAGTTAGTTTTGTTCTTGTATCTAATACCTTGGTCCTTTACTTTGTTTATTAAGAAAAAGGGCCAAATGGAGGTTTGATAAGATAGTAATTTTCTTTTTTTTCTCCAACTGTGTCTCAGATGTTCAAGAGATAGTAGTTGTCTATAGTTGCTTTTGACAAGTGCACTCTGGACATACTAATTTAGTTTATTTTTACCTTAACTGATACCAGCACATTAATAAGAAATACTCATGCAGTACCTTTGATGTTTTGTAAAAAGTAAAAGTATATAAAGACTCCTTACATGGGAATGTGCAAAAAGTTTTTAATTCGCATTCAAGAAGCCAAATGTATTGAATTAAAAGGATCTGTGTTGTAGTATATCATCTGTGGCATACTTCTTTCAAAAACAGAACCACTAAAACTGCTGTAATCAAAAAGCTCTTTGTTTTTGTTTTTCTTACTCAAAGACTAGTAAATTCTTCATGACTGAAGTTATCATCATCAACTATATTATAGTGCTTATTTAGTGATTTTTCTTAGAAAATTGGGACATAATACCTTTTAATCTTACTAAGATAACTTTAAAGGCTGTGAATATTTTAGTTCACCCACTTGACTTTTGATGTGAATTTTAATTTGGTCAGATTGTACATTTATTTTGATACAACACTTTAAAGAATTTTATTTATAAATGAGCTAGAGAAGCTCCTTCATCCTTTGAGTTTGTGTTGTTGAACACAAAGGAGATGTAAGAGGGAATGTACTAAGTATATGGAGCAAGTCTGTCCTCATACCAGATTGACAACTCAGAATATCTGCAGATGATGGGACACTGGTGTCAACTGTATAAATGGAAACGCACCATTATTTTGCTGTAGTGACTCAAAGCAGTAATAGTATGTGATATCCTGGATCAGCACTTCTCACATTTTTCTGCTGAGATACCCCTGATGGTAGAGAACAGTGAACTTGTATGCTAAAGGTCTGAGGCAGAGGGTAGAGTAGTTGGCTGATTTTCTGAATTGTTTTTGAAATGTCAGCTTTTAACCTTAAGAATTCACTTAGATTTTGTATGCTACTGCATAATATATCTTTCATATTTAAAAACATAGGCTCCTGGAAGACGTGTGATGTCAATGGCTTCGTCTGTTTCTGGGCACATCACAGATGCTTGAGGTTCTTATGCCTGTTGAGTGGTGCTGTCCATTGCTCCTGTCAGCAAGGAGTTCATGCTCTGGGAGACTCAATAAGAATCACATAGTTCTGTCTGACCACTGTCTGGCCATCTGTCCTCTTCTCCTCCCATTTCCCCACTAAAGTTTCTCATTCGTATGCAACAATCTTACTTTTTCCCCTTGTTTTCCTTTTTTTGTTGAGGGGTTGTCGAAAAGAAGTCTTCAAAAGCTTTTCTGACTCATAAAATTTCTGTAGTTGCAATATTAATATGTAATAGTGATTTTTTTATTTTCCCCTAGGGAAAGGCTTTTCAGGTGTCTCAGTATTTAAGTGATTCTAAAGGGTGAACTAAAAAAAATTTTGCATATGTGTTGGTACCACTTGCCTTAATGAATTTTTGCCTTATTGTGAATTTATGTGTTGGTACCACTTGCGTTATTGAAATAGAATCTTTTGGAAATAACTGAAAAGTGATTTCATTGGTAGAGTGAAATTAATATCATCTTTAAGCAAAATTTATTCAAATGTTTATGTTCAGTTATATTTTCTAATGTAAAATTGTTGATTTTAAGGTATTTTTGACGAACTCTGCAAACGTCTTTTTGTTGGAACCATGTGCTGAAGTTCCTGTGCTCTTGAAAGAACAAGTTGATGCTTGTAAAGCTGTTTTGATTATTTTTAGGCGCATGATAATGGAGCTTACAATGAATAAAAAGACATGGTGAGTTTCTATCAAATTAATTAGTATTGTAAAACAGATGTTTCTGTTTTTCAACATCATTACAATGTTAAGGCTTGCATTTGTTTAATGTTTTTACAAAGTTAACGACAAAATGTCTTTTGTAACAGTTTCTGTGAATTATGAAGAAGGTAGTTATCCAGTACTTTGATAGATCAATTATTTTCATTATATTTTTTAAAAATGTCCTTGAACAATAAGTATTTTACTTAATAGTGGATTTTTCCTTTTAAACTTTCATCAAACGTAGTTTTGTGGAAAAGCAGCAACTGGTGTCTTATAGTATTCATCATAAGCTCAGGAGAGTTTGTTAATTGCCCTGAAATGCTGTCAGCTGATTTTTATTGCTTCTAACTTGATGTTTTAAATTCATTTTGGAAAAACAATTATTTTAAATGATAAATTATCAGAGACTAAATACATAGTGCAGTCAAAAATCTGATCCTGTTATTAAAACTACAACAACGTTTTTTTCCTTTTCATCTTTGTTTTTGTTTGATGTTTTTATTTATAATGTCCCTATAGGTAAACAATGCATTAGATTTTTTTTCCTGCTCTTCTCTTTTTTTCCTGCTTTTCTCTTATTTGAAAGTCATCAGCCGGGTGCGGTAGCTCACGCTTGTAATCCCAGCACTTTGGGAGGCTGAGGTGGGTGGATCACCTGAGGTCAGGAGTTCGAGACCAGCCTGCCTAACATGGCGAAACCCCATCTCTCCTAAAAATACAAAAAATTAGCCAGGTGTGGTGGCAGGTGCCTGTGATCCTAGCTACTCGAGAGGCTGAGACAGGAGAATCACTTGAACCCGGAAGGCGGAGGTTGCAGTGAGATTGCGCCACTGCTCTCCAGCCTAGGTGACAGAGTGAGACTTTGTCTCAAAAAAAAAAAAAGTCCTCACTTTACTCCATCTGATGAGGTATTTTCAGTGATGCTCAGCAACAGACCAGAAAGCCTCAGAGTCACTTTCCATTTCTTCCTCTTCTCCTCATGTGCCATCAGCCTCTCACTTCTGTCTTTAAAATGCTCCTCAAGCCTGTCCTTTGCATGTTCCCTCTCATTCCACTGCCGCCCTTGTGCAATCAAGCTGCCCACCCCAGCATCTCCCTAGGTGATCTTCTGCCTTGGTTCTCAGTCCTTGGAGGCCCTGCAGACCAGTGGCACCTTTCCTACCTGAAACCAGAGGGGTCCTCTGCCCATGTCTGCGTTCTGGAGGCCCTTGAGTCAGCAGGAAAGGGGCTTTGGAAAGTGTCTGCAGTTGGTAGGAAAGTGTGGACACGAGGTCTGATCAGAAAGGAACTGCAGGCCACCAAGTCCAATTCTTTTGCTTCAAAGATGAGGGAAGGGAGGACTCAAGAATCCTGGTGTGCAGAAAGTTCACAAGTACAGAAACCACAGGCATCAAAATGATATTATGATGTAGATTCCAACGTCATCTTTCCCAGACTTCTAAACTTAGCACTATTTGCCAAGTTAAGAAATTGTTAAAACTGGAAATATTACAGTGATGCACAATATGATGTAAACAAAGTTAAATTCCACGTCAGTAATATTGACAATAATGAGAAATGCTGGTATATGCTTTCAACTGAAATATCTGTTCCTGAATACCATAGTTTTATCAACATCATTTAAAATGTTTTTCTCCTTTGAAAACTTCCTGAGTTTTGTATACTACTGTATCAGCAGTTTTTGGATCTTTTTTGATAATATTTTTATTTTGATGAAAATTCTAGGAAATAAAATTAAGCAATTCTGTTCTGACTTTTACTAATTCATAGATTCCTAGGTGAAAGTATAGAAAAGAAAAATTGTAGAAATCGATGAAAATAGTTAACGGGAAAATGGTCAATAGAGCATAGAAAGGAATGTGAGCAGTTTCTCTAACAGATTTTCTTGTGTATTTAAGTACCAGATAATCCCTTGCCTCCCATCCCTCCTTTCCTTCCTCACTCCTTCTTCTCCCCTCTCTCCTTACCTCCTTTTCTTCCATCTAATAAATAACTATCGAGCATCTACTGTGAGAATATAGTGGTGAACTATGTAGACAAGGTCCCTGCCCTCATGAGGTTACATCCTCATAGGACCGAGAGACATTAAAAACCTAGAAGCAATTTCAGAGAGTCTGAAGTACTGAGAAGAACAGTGAAGGTTGGAAAGGGAAAAGAGTCCTGAATTGGGTGTGTGTTGCTTGGCATGGATAGAGGGAGAGTTATTTCCGTCAGCTGTCAGAGAAGGCCTTCCTGAGCAGAGCCCTGAGTGAAGGGAAGGAGGAGCCTTGGGGAGGTCTAAGGGAAGGGCATTCCTGGTAGAAAGAGCAGCAGATGCAAAAGCCCCGATGGGAGAAAAGGTAAAAAAAAAAAAAAAAAAAAGTGGCTTGTTTAAGGAAGGACAAGATGATGGCCAGTGTGGTGGAGTGGATGGAGTGAGAGGGGAGGAGGCAGGGGGCAGGCCAGGGCCAGGTTTCTTGGGGCCCTGCAGACCAAAGGAAGGACACCAGCTACCTCCCTGTGTGTCTGCAAGATTGTGACATAATACAATTTATGCTTCTGAAAGGCCCCTGTGGCTGCTGGAGAACATGCAGTACAGTGCCATAGATGATGGTGGCTGAGACCGGGGCTATAGCCAGGGAACTGTAAGAAGTGGTCCTGAAATAGGGAATAACTGGTACGTAAATGAGTTGAAAGGTCACCTGTATGAGGAGATGGAGATCAGGTAAATAATGAAGAATGTAGGAAAACCCTCACTCCTGTGTTGGACCCAAGGATGACACACATGCCTGATTCCATGTACTCCAACAGAAGTTATTACACTTTTTGAGCAGTTCTCCTTGGAGAAGTCAGTGCTTCACAAAATAGAAAGGAACAAGCAGTTGTCAAAACTGGCAGCTTTGGCAGGTCATGCATCTTTCTACTGTTAGGAAAGATTTTTCCAAACCGTAGTTTTTCCACCCTTGCTTTCTTCTAGAAGACTCTGCATGCCTTTCCAAGCTTTCATAGGTTCAGCAATCAAATTGACTGTGTTTTTGTCAGTCATTGCTTTGATCACATTTGTAGCTTTTGATAGCAGTTGCCATGATCAAGGCTTTACTTGAAACTTATGATGTCTGTTGTTCTCATCACCTTCTCATGATGGGTCTGTAACTAATTGTGTGCAAGGGATTGTTTTTCATTGTCTTATGCATCATGTAACATGAATGGGCAGTGGTGATACTAGGTGCTGCCCTTCTCTTCCCTGGCGACAGGGACCTGGGTAGCCTGAATGTGGTGAGCGACAAGCTGTCCCCCAGCACTGTGCCATTTCTTCTCCCAGTTCTCGTCAAAGTCACCATTGTACTTCATGCATGTGTGCCCAGAAGATAGTCCTTCCTCTTCTGTGCTTCCAGAATCCATAGGCAGAGAATAGGAATACATGGGCAAGTAGCATGGAGTGCAGTGAGAATGTATACCAACAGATGACTCTGGGGACCAAAATCAAATGGGGCCAGCTACAAAGAGGGCAGGAAATCCCCACAGGTGATTTTACTGTGAGGAATTTTATGAGGTTCAGCGTATTGTTAGGAGAAAATGCTATTCTGATATGCAGAGATATGAGAAAAGTATACAGGAACTATGATTTAGAGATCTCATCTGATTACTTTGTCCTATTCTCAGTTTTATTACTAAAGAGCAGTAAAGCCAAGGAGAAGGTAGTAAAGATTAGATGAATGGTTAGCATGTGAAACCTGAAAGGAACCAGTGATTTCCCTCGAGGAACAAATGCACCTCTGTTACATAATGTGTTCTGTGTTCCCATGGAATCTAGGGGAAGAAAAAGTAAGCAGATACTCTGATATGAGCAATATAACTTAGGTGTAAGGAAGAAAAATGTCTTTTGGCTGTTCTGAATAACTTATTATTGTAATTAGCAGTGTTAGGCTGTCTCTATGCTGTTTTATAGTCTTCAAAGTCCTTTTACGTAAAACCTTCTGTGAGAGACTATAACAAATGCTGGCACATTGGAACTGAGCTGCAGTGATGGCATTTGTCTCAGTTGTGCCCTGTAGCGCAGAGTCAGGATCTTCCAGGCATGAGCACTGTGCCTGTAAGTGTCCTGTAATGCAAACCCCTCCTGCCTGTGAGAGTACTGTGGCATTCCACCATACCAAGATACTGACTGTGTGTGTCCCCAAAATAAAGGGCAGAAAGTCAACTTAACTTCCTGTTGCAAAGATAGGGAGACCTTACAGGTCGAGTAAAACAGCGGATAGCAAAATTAGAGTGCTGCATACGTTCCAGTAGGTTTTCACTGAGTGCCTTTAAGGTGTTGGCACAGTTGGAGAAGACAGTCTTGCCTCCCTTTTTGCAAGCGGAGAAAATCAGGCTGGAATGTTATGTTTTATCCTTCCTGTTTGTGTGGACATGGGAGGCATATTTTTAAAACCGTTGTAACATAAGGGAGCTTATTTTGGTAAAATATGATATTCGTTATGTAATTGGCATCTGGACTTTAATAGTTTCGAGTAATACGTAATTATCAATGTTGCTGAATTCTTAAGAGAATTTCTGGTACCTATAAGTTAAAGTACTTTGGAGATATGATTATTAATATGAGCTTTTATTTTGGGTGGCCCAGGGAACAGATGTTGCAAATACTACTCAGGATAACAGAAGCTGTCATGCAGAAGCCAAAGGATAAACAAATAAAGGACTTGTTTGCCCAGAGCTTGGCAGGGTTACTATTTAGGGTAAGTCTTTTTTATTAAAACACTGCAAATGCAAGAAGTCAATCAGATTTTATAGCAAACTAGTTTTAATCATTGAGAATTTTAACAATAATGTTAAATTTAAATTTCTAGAAATTTTTCTTCTTAGCTTTGTCCTGAAGGTTATGATCTATTCTTTACAATTAGTGCTGGGCTTTTAGGCTTTTCTCCCTTTCTGCCACCTCCTTCCTCTTTTGATTTGCTCAAGGGTGGTAGGAATTAGGAAGCTCTGATTGGCTTGGTGGAAGGCTAGGTAGATTTGGAGAGGTAAAGAATGAACGGAAGCATGGGAATGGGATAAAAATTTGAGAGCCATCAGTGTGTTGGGAAATTGTATTTAAAACCACAGAATGGGCTTACCTAGAGAGGACAGTGTCCACAGGTGATGGAAGAGATGCTGAGAAAGGGTGACCAGTGAGCGAGGAGGAAAACCAGAGGAGTGTGTGTCCTGGGTGCCTGGGGATGAGTAATTGGGTAGGAGGAGAGCAGCCAGTTGACCATGGGCTTTGACAGATGTAGTTGGTTGAGAATGTTCTATGGGATGAGGCCCACCTGGAGTAGATGGAGGAGAAGATGAGAGCTGGGCAGTGGAGGTTGCAAGCGTAGTTAAGGCTTTGCAGAGTTTGATGTGGAAAGGAAGAGGAAAAGGGGAGCTAGCTGAAGTCGGTGGCATACATGGTGGGCGAGGTTTAAGGTGGGTGGTACTAAAGTATGTTTGCTCACCAATGGGATGGTCCAGTGAGGGAGGACAAGATGGTCTTGGGGAGACAGAGGATAACTGTAGAAGTGAAGTCCCGGATATGGTGGGGGGCTGGGCTGGTCTTTGGTACGAGCAGAGAGCAAGGAGATGCCTGTGCTTCTTGCATCTCATGCGGTGAGCAGGTGAAGACCAAGAGCAGGCCGATACCTGGTGAGCTGCCTGGGGAAGAGGATGTGCCAGAGGGTTCTGAGCATGGCAGCCTACTCTGACATTGCTAATATTTATGAGGACCTTAGAGTTTATGAAGCATTACTGAAAGAGAAGAGTGTGAAAGGGCTCTGGAAAAATGCGACATTCTACATAAATAAAGGTATTAGTACAGTGGGTGGACTTGACTTTGGATAATTACATAGGTGATTCTTTTGCATATGTCCAGCTTTGCTCTGCTGATGCCTGGAGGGTGGTACTGACCACTGCTTTGCTGCCTGCCTGGACATATGGACACTGTACACTTTGCCCTCTCAGCGAAGTGTCTCACTGTTGGCACCCTTTCGAGCTCCGTGTCCTGGACCTGGGCTGCCAAGTGGACATGAGCTGAAGCCAGTCTCACGCTGGCAGGTGCTTGGGCCTTATTCTCACCAATTGCCTGGCTCTGCATCTGTTTTGTGTGTTGGAATTAGAGATCTTGACACAGAATTAAACAAGTATCTATTCTGGGGTTTGGGTTTTTTTTTTGTTTGGTTGGTTGGTTTTGGTCTTTGGGGGAAAAAAAAACTCCCCCCATGTAATGGAGAAAACCTTCTCAGATATTACTTCCCTCCTCAGTTGGCCTGACTTCCCCGAAGCTCAGTTGACCTGACTTCCCTGTAGCTTAGTTTTGAGTTCATGATTATTAATGATTTTGATGTTGTTATTATTTTGGCAGTTTTTAGGTAGATCGAGAAGGATGCTTAAGTTAAGAACTGACCATATGGCTGGGCATGGTGTCTTACACCTGTAATCCCAGCACTTTGGGAGGCTGAGGCAGGAGGATTGCTTGAGCCCAAGAATTCAAAACCAGCCTGGGCAATAGAGTGAGACCCTGTCTCTACAAAAAATTAAAAAAACATTAGCCGGCCATAGTGGCATGCACCTGAAGTTTCAGTTACTCGTGAGCTGAGGTGGGAAGATTGCTTGAACCTAGGAGGTTGAGGCTATAAGCGAGCTATGATTGCACCCCTGTACTGCAGCCTAGTCAAAAGAGCAAGACCCTGTCTCAAAAAAAAAAAAAAAAAAAAAACCTACCATAAAAAATAGTGAAGAGAGGATGAGCTTTTTGGTGTTAGGCAGATTGTGGTTCTGATCTCAGCTCTGCTACTCCCTGGCTATGTGGCCATGAGCACATGACTTTAGCTTTCTGAGTGTCTTCCCTAATCTGTCACAATCAGGAAAGGACTTCTTCCTACCCTGCAGGGTTGTCGTGAGAATCAGAGTGGTCCCACTGGGATTTGTGATCTTCTATTGACCTCCCACATTCTTATGGGAGGTGCAAGAGGCAAGAATAATAAGGGTCCGGACTTACCAGGCTATCTGGTGTCTGATGTCTATTGGGCATCATCGTGGTCCCATACTGTCATTAAGACGTGCTATCTAATTAGTATTCATTTGATCATGTGGACTGTCTAAAATGGCCAATTGATTTTTTTTGAAAAATTTAGAACAAGGAGACTTAAAAAAGATAGGACATTTTTAAGTTTTTATTACCCTTTTTATCTTTTTCTAGTTCTTCTTCTTGTGTTTGTTTTTTTTATCTGTCAGTAGATAACCTGGGCCACCAAATTTTCTTTAAGTGATGATTGAATTTGACTTAGTTTTAAATATTTACCAAATAATGATGATCGCCTTATTGCCCTAAGTGATGTTTTAATTCATTATCAATGCTAAATATGACCTTATGCTTGACGTTCTGATGGTATATCAGGAAACTATGGTCCTGCTCTTTGTAATATGAGCCATTAAAGTTATGCCGTCCCCTTTAATGTGCTGATAGAGTGAAGTAGGAAGTAGTTGGTTAGCAAATGTTCATTAAGAAAAGGAGTGATTTATTAGCTAAGGTGTTTTTTAAATACATCGTGTACCAAAATGTATCTGATAAAACATCAAATTTCAGTGCTGAAGGAACCTTGGAGAAGCTCCTATGCAACTCTTATTTTTAATGAGAAATGTGACTACAGAAAGGCCAAGTAACTTTCCTAGGTCACAAACCAGGGTAGACCAGGCTGTTTGTTTCCATGTTCCTTTTAGAAAATGGTAATTGATCAGAAGGACACCCTGCCTTCATGTCCACAGGTGCCACCACTCACCACCCAACTGTATTTTACAAGTTTACCATTTTGCTCTGTGCAAGTGTTGTCAGTTGTGAATTATGATGATAATTCAACAGGTCTGCATACGTTTGTAATATTTGCTAAGTTGATTTTATAAACTGCAAGAAGTCATTCTGTACTTGTTTCATAATTAGTTAATAAAGTGAAGCCATTTTAAGATCCCCAGTATAGAGCATCTCATTACTCCAAGACATCTGCTGTTATCCATGAAACTGACACTATATCCGAATGTGAGTCTGAGTCCTGATAACATTATCAGTCTCTACTTTCTTACTCGGCTCAGATTATACTTATTGATCTAATATTTAATTTTATTGTCTATAGGTATTTTATGGCAATGTCCTCAAATTCATCTTGAAAGCAGGGGTATAAAAATTAATAGAAGATGGCATTGTAGTCATAGTAAAAATATTTAATAAAGATAATAAAATTATTTTATTTTCTTTCATATTTTTAGTTTTACAAAATTCATACATGTTAGAATCAGATTTTAAATATAAGTGGTTAATATCTTGTTTTTTATATAATTAACTACTTTAGTCTTACTTTAACATTTTTATTTTTTTAAAAAGTGGTAGCAGCTGGGCACGGTGGCTCACACCTGTAATCCCAGCACTTTGGGAGACCGAGGCATGCGGATCATGAGGTCAGGAGATTGAGACCATCCTGGCTAACATGGTGAATCCCCGTCTCTACTAAAAATACAAATAAATAGATAAATAAAATAAAATTAGCCAGGCATTGTGGCGGGCACCTGTAGTCTCAGCTACTTGGGAGGCTGAGGCAGGAGAATGACATGAACCCGGGAGGCGGAGCTTGCAGTGAGCCAAGTTCGCGCCACTGCACTCCAGCCTGAGCGACAGAGTGGGACTCCGTCTCCAAAAAAAAAAAAAAAAGTGGTAAACACAAATCGAAACAGAGAACATGTGTGTTACAGACAGAAGGACCACTTTAAATAAGATTTTCCAAGTGGTCAGAACAGGCCTGCCTGATTTTACAGACTGATTTCTGTTTATCAAAGTTTTCCTGTGTCTATGTTAAAGAATAAATTCCATTAAAAAATCTATATATAATTTGGGGGAAAAAATTAAGAAGTGAACTCACCTACACAAAGAAGAATTCCTGACAAGAGTGGGAGCCTATTTGCATCTGGGTTGGGCCCATGCAAATACAAGCTGGCATCTTAACAAGTGCATTTATCTTTGACAACTGACTACAGGACTTACACAGACTTTGGGTATAAGCATTCCTTTTCACAAGCTTAGGAAAGCATTTTGTGGCTCATTTGAGATGCACTTGGCTATGTAGAGGCACTTCTTTCAGGGAAGATGTATTTGGATTTGAATTTTAAAGGATGGTGAATATTTTGGCAGAGGTAAGGAATGGGGCAATTTTAAGGGAAGGAAATATCCAGGATATAGGCATAATTGTCTCATAGGGCTGTCCATGTGACCAGTTGTAGTGCTGTGGATTGTAAGACTTGGGGCAGACACTGATAAGTGAATAGACTGTGAAGGAAAGGTGTGATAGGTGTATTGATGGAGGGGAAATGCAGGGACCTGGAGGACACTTCCTGCCGACTGGGAGGTGGTGGTGGGGAGATAGTCAAGGATACCTTCTTGGAGGAAGTGATGTACAAATTTTGACCTGAGAAATGATGGGGAGTTATACAGAAACAAAAAGGAGGACAGAGAGGGAAGGAAGAGTATGTGCAAAGGCCAGTTGCAAGAGCTAGCAGGTAGAGGAACTGGGAGAATGTCAGTGGAAGAAATTGAATACCTTTTACTATTATGCTGTAGGATAGGTGCCTGAGGGTTGTGTAAGTAGCACTGTCTAGTACCTAGGTAGATAGATCAGGAAACCAGTAAAGAGGTCTAAACTGGACATGGAGATTCAGAAGTCAGCAGCACACAGAGGATAACTGGAGCCATGGGAATGGAGCCAAAACCCAGGCAGAAGGTGGAAGTGACCTCAGAAAGGGAAGATCCAGAGCAGTCTGTTGCCTGGGGGATGAGGAAGTGGAGATGGAGTAGATGTGGAACATTCTTTCAAGAAGTTTGGCTGTGAAAGTGGAAGGAAAAAGACTGTAGCTAGACGGGGGAATCTGGGTTCAAGGGAATTTTTTCTTTTAAGATGAGGAAGAATTTGGAGCATATTTAAATGCTGAAGAGAAAGAGCTGGGGAAGTGGGGTTGGCTGGAGATTAAAGGAGAGGGGTGGTTGAGAGGCATGAAGGTCCAGAGCATAAGGGGGCACAAGGATAGTAGATCAGGGGCCCCTCTTGGAGTTCAGCCCACGGGTGGAGGAGAAGCTGGGTGAATGTGGGCAAGAGTGTGAGTCCATGGGCAGAGATTGAGGGGAGTCTTATTGAATGGGTTCTGTTTCTTGTGAAGTCTGCAGTCAATCTATCTGCTCAAAGTCAGGGAGGAGTTGATGGGCTGGAGGTTTTCCTTTAGGAGGTTTGAAGTAGCCACTGTGGATGGAAGGAAAAGAGCAGTCTCAGGAAGCAGAGTGGTCACTGTGCAGAGGGCTTTGTCTTCTCCCTGATTATAGCCAGGGCCAGCCGCAGACCCTAGAATAGTACTGAATCAGTAACTTTGTTCATAATGATAACTAACTTCCCAGTAGCTTAAATCTTGATTATAGTTGGTCAAGTGGATTTTGAGAATTAAAAGAAAAACAACTTCCAAAAGTACTTTTTATTTTAAAATTTGTGTTATTAATAGTCATTTAAAACATTTTGTTAAAAAGTATACTTCTTCAAATGAAGATATATGAATTCTCTTGCTGGTTGGTTGGTTTTAGACGCTCATGGTGGCTTGGATCCGAGCAAACCTCTGTGTGTACATTTCTCGAGAGCTCTGGGATGACTTTCTTGGTGTGCTGTCCTCCCTCACGGAATGGGAGGAACTTATAAACGAGTGGGCCAACATTATGGACTCCTTGACAGCAGTGCTTGCAAGAACCGTTTATGGAGTTGAGATGACAAACCTACCTCTGGATAAATTAAGTGAACAAAAGGAAAAGAAGCAACGAGGCAAAGGTATTTCTACTTTTCCAGGTTAACACCAGATGTCTAGGTCGGGGGACGAGTGTGTATTTGTATGACTAAGCAATTAATGCATGAGATTTTATAATGAACTGAACCAGCTACACAGTGTCTTCTTAATAGTGGCATTAATTCGTGTCTCATATCATTCTGTTCCCTTAATGAGATGGTGAATTTCTGAGGAGGCTATGCAAAAAGGAAGATGCAAGGAAGGTAGTAGTAATAGTAGTGATAACTAACAGTAATAATAATGGCTATTACATTGTACATATTATCTCTTTTTGCCTTCATAATAACCTAGTGAACTATAGATACTTGTATAATCCCCATATCACAGACAAATAAACTGAAGTATGAGACTTTGCAGAGATGTCCAATCCTTTGGCTTCCCCAGGCCACGTTGGAAGAATTGTCTTGGAGCACACATAAAATACACTAAAACTAATGATAGCTTATGAGCTAAAACAAACAAACAAAAAATAGCAAAAAAAAAAAAAAAATCTCATAATGTTTTAAGAAAGTTTACACATTTGTGTTGGACTGTACTGAAAGCCATTCTTGGCTGCATGTGGCCCATGGGTTGGGCCACGGGTTAGTCAAGGTTGCCTTGCAGTGATTGACTCATCTGAGCCCACATAGTTAAGAAGTGGTTAGAAAATCAAAGCTGGATAAATACAACTCAAGATGTCATACAATTAAGATGCATTCTACAGCCTCTCTAGGAAACTTGCAGAAATTCTGAATGCTTCAGATGGGAGCTATTTTGGCTTTGTTGTATTTCTGGGTAAAAATTGTTTTGGGACTGAGAACCTCAAATGAAAGTGATGTTTTCAAGGTAGAAAACATCAGTGGTAGTTTCTGTTAGGAATGACAATTTGGCATCCGCTTGTCTTAATTACCATTCTTAAGGATGTGGCATGGTCCTTAGATTAATTCACTTGTACTACACCATACTCTGTAAAGATTTGAGGCCGGGCACAGTGGCTCAAGCCTGTAATCCCAGCACTTTGGGAGGCCGAGACGGGCAGATCACGAGGTCAGGAGATTGAGACCATCCTGGCTAACATGGTGCAACCCTGTCTCTACTAAAAACTACAAAAAACTAGCTGGGCGAGGTGGCGGGCGCCTGTAGTCCCAGCTACTCGGGAGGCTGAGGCAGGAGAATGGCGTAAACCCGGGAGGCAGAGCTTGCAGTGAGCTGAGATCCGGCCACTGTACTCCAGCCTGGGTGACAGAGTAAGACTCCGTCTCAAAAAAAAAGAAGATTTGAGGCAGCTCATAAAAAGGCATATAGTACAGTAGATCAAATACAAAACAGGATCAAAATGAGTGGGGTTGCAGGGAACTGCCGTTGTGACTAAAATGCCAAAATACATGCCATAGAGTCTCATGGACTTGCTGGGGAGATGGAAAAGTCAAACATTGGATTTGATTTTGGTCTTTGCAGGTTTACATCAAATCAGGAATCACAGAGCACATAGGGTAAAAACAATTCAATCACTTAGGTGATGCTTAGCTTTATTAGGTCCTCCTGAGACTTGGGAGGAATTTTTCCTTCAAAGCCCCATAAAGGGTACACATTGCTTATTGTGTAGACTACCCCTTTAATAATACGAGCCTTATTATAGATTGTATCAGTGTGCTTTTGCCATGTGACAAATCACCCCAAAACTTACGGCTTAAAATAACAACCACTTATTTATCTTGATTTGATGAGTTGGCAATTTGGGTTGGACTCAGCCAGTCAGTTCTTCTGCTGGTCTTTGCTTCTGTGTTTGCAGTCAGCCAGGCTGTGAAGTAGTCAGCTAGGCAGCTCTACTTTTAGGGGTTGGCTGGCTGTAAGGGGGGGCAATGAGGTGTGACTGGGCCACATGTTTCAGCAGCCAGAGGCTAGCTCAGGCTTGTTCACCAAGTGGCTTAGAGTTTCAGGAGCAGCAAGAGGGCAAGCTCAAATTTTCAAGTGCATTTCAAGTCTCTGCTTATTCATTTTTGCTACCAAAGTTAAGTCACATGATGAAGCCTAATGTCAATATGGGAGAGAACAACAGAGGATGTGGATACAGGGAGGTGTGAACCAGTTACGGTGGCTAGTAAACCATATACATGTGTAATAAATGTGATGGATTCTTATAATATCTCCATTGAAATCTGAGAATGGCTTGCCAAAGCACTAATTAATAAAAGCAAGTTAGTAAGAAGCCAAAATAAAGTAGTTGAAGTACATGGCAATCCAGTGGAACAGTTTAATCCCAATGTAGATGTAGACTGTCTAATGCAATGATTTTCTAACATTTTTTAACAGATCCGTTTTTCTCCCCAGTTGAAGGTATACATAACCCCTTTCTAAAGAAATAGACTGGAGATTTGGGATTGAAGTAGGAGCAGAGAGCCAAGAACCTGGGTCCTTGGCCTCCATCTAGTCCTCTCTAACAGCTCTGAGGACCTCTGTGTAAACCCAGGGCCTGAGAGGACCCAGATACTTCCAACTAGGAACTTGGCTCCCTAAGACAGTGGTTCTCAGCCCAGAAGAGAACTTACCTGGCTAAGAATACCTTTCAGGCTAGAGAAGGAGAGCTGAAATAGGAGATAAGGACCTACCTTCAATTGTAATCCATGCACGAGTGCACATGTTTGTGCATGCACGCGTGCACACACACAACGCACACCTGCCATTCTGCAAGATTCTCTTCCTACCCACAGATTCATCTGAAGAGATAGACTTGTCTTGGGAAGGCAAACAACTTCAAAAACACTGTTTTCAAAATGTACTGAACAAATTATTAAATTAATGACCATGACTAATATTTCTGATTTCTGTTGGTTTATTCTAAAAAGGATTTAAATATTTATTGTAGAAACACTTGCCTTCTAAGGGCTAGACTACTAGAAACAAAAAACACAGGCAGAGGAAACTGGGTGTGGAAACATGTCACAGGTGGCAGCCACTGGCCACTTCATACCTGTGCAGAAATCTCTAAGTCTGCCATTCTCTTTCCTCCTCTATTTCTTTTGGTCCATAGTCTCTCATTGAAATAATTAACCAGAACAATATGAGAAAAAAGAAAAGTTGAATCTCAGACTACAATGTTTTATTGTTTTGGACCTTTGCTAAAATAGGATTTTGTATTATTTATAGATTTTCATTATCCTGCCCATTTAACTGAATCCACATTAGAGTTTATAGGCATGGATTGCCCTGGGGATTTGTGGAGGGGTTGGTGTCTACAGGATGCAGTACTATTCAAACATCAGGATCTCTGAGGTTTTGGCTTATAAGCAGTGGTTTTTGGAGTGTCCTGGGAACAGTAGTATAACTTCATTTGATATTGTTCTTGTATTGAGAAAGGTTTATTAATACATTCTTTTGTATGCTGGAGTGAGTACTATGAAGATATGATAATATTCCTAAGACTGTTTTATATTCTTGAAAATATTTTGGCAACAAGAATTCTTAAATTAGTGACATGTGAACAACTTCCTAAATTGCAGTGTAAGAAGTGGTACTTAATTTGTGACAAGAAAACCTGCTGATTATATATAGTTGTGTGTACACCATTTGCTGAGCAACACAAGCTGCGAAATGAATAATAATGAATTCAGCCTTTAGATTATTTTTCTTGTCCTTTATCAGGCTGTGTTCTAGATCCTCAGAAAGGAACCACTGTGGGGAGATCCTTTTCTCTCAGCTGGCGGAGCCACCCAGATGTGACCGAACCGATGCGATTTAGGAGTGCCACCACGTCTGGAGCACCGGGAGTGGAAAAGGCGAGAAATATTGTTCGCCAAAAAGCAACTGGTAAACATTTATTTAAATGCTTCTCAAAAATCTAGTTGTTATCTAAAATGAATTTATAGGCATAAGGTGTGTTAAAAATTCTACTCAAAATTTAAATATTAGACCTTATATTAAATGAAATGTCTCTACATCTTTTTAGCTTTCTGCTGTGGTTACTTTTCAAATCACAGTTTTCAGTTACTTATTTCTAAATCCTCCATTGTGAAAAAGAACTTGAGATATTAATGTTGAGTGAGATATTTGTACGAAATAGAGAAAATAGAGGTTTTGTTTGAACCTTGAAGAAAATAGATTGTTAATAAATACACCAGTAGTTGCATTATTGTCAGTGTTAAACCATGTTAATCTTTAGAGTGTGGCAACCTGTTTCAGCAAAGAAAAGGAGAATTATACACTTTAGTTTTCAGGACTGGATAGACATTTTCATTTTTTGCTCCTTTGGAAAATTGAGGCTTTTCATGTCTGTATGTTATCTTTGCAGCCTATTTCCATTAGCAACTTGACCAACAACCCCCAGTTAATTGGACTACTTTGCTACATTTTACTCTTTTTTTCTTTTTTTGTTTTTTGAGACAGATTCTTGCTCCAGGCTGGAGTGTAGTGGTGCAATCTCAGCTCACTGCAACTTCTGCTTTCTGGGTTCCAGCAATTCTCCTGCCTCAGCCTCCTGAGTAGCTGAGATTACAGGCGCCCCACCATGCCCAGCAAATTTTTGTATTTTTAGTAGAAACAGGGTTTCACCATGTTGGTCAGGCTGGTCTCAAACTCCTGACCTCGTGATCCGCCCGCC